GTGTGTGTGTGTGTGTGTGTGTGTGTGTAAAAGTCTAGACAGGACCTGGGGATTTGGCGTATGACGCGTGGAAGCAGGAAAAGTTGATGAGGGCGTATGAGGCCAGGAAGAAGTTGGAGATGATGGGAGCGATGGTGTTGAGCTGAGCTGAGACACAAACAACCGCTGTTACATGATCACATCTGTCTCATGAAATCAGTCAATCACTGTTATATTTACCGATGAGGATGAATGCTACAGCGATGAAGAAGGTCAGGATGTATCCTCTGATTGGCTCGTTGTTTTTCCCGTGACCTTTGGCGAAGAACTTGAGCGCCTTGTAGATGTTGTCCTTGCATAGAGCCTGTGGACGGATTCACTTTTAAGAGCTTCTTTACAATGTACTGCCGTCTTTTATTGTATTTTAAGATTGTCCTATAAACGTCTAAAGCTGATTAGATATTTATTGGGTTTAAATGGTGTGCGTGTGAACTCTGACCTGGAAGACTTTGGGCGCACTCACTAGAGACGCAAGAGCTGAGGAGAGTGTGGCCGAGAACGTTCCCGCCGTGATGAGAGGTCCGAACCCAGATACTAGAGTCATTACCTGCACACAAACACACAAGAGAGAATCATTTCAAACATTTCAACATTCAGCCATGCACTGGATTTCAGGTCACGTATGTTCAAGACTCCCACCTGGAAGTTGTTCATGAGGCCGTAGTTGCATTTGGTGGTTTGGCAGATTGAGAAGTCGTAGCCCAGATCACAGGCCGAGGAGAAGTTGCAGCTCAAACCCGGTTGGATAGTGTCGTTGCGGTTCCCTGTCGCGTCTCGAACGACCGTCACAGCTGCAGAGAATCAGCACAGTCTTTCTGTTAGACATCCAGACTGAGACTAGAGTAATTTCAAGTGTGCGTTCAGGACTCACAAACAACCAGCGCGATGCCCAAATACGTAACTCCTGTGATAAAGATGGCCAGCAGCGTTCCTTTGGGAAGAGCTGCCTGAGGGTCCTGAAAAACCAGAGGCGTTCAGTGTTGTTAATTAGTTACTTTTTTATGGAGTAACGCAATATTGTGATGCATTACTTTTAAAAGTAACTTTTCCCAACACTGCGTTCGTGTGTGAAAAAGATGTTGAACCGGCGTCTGATCGCACAGTTATTTCAGATTAGAAATGTGCCAGACACTCGCTCTTACTCTCAGATCTCCAGAGATATTGGCTCCAGCCAGAATCCCGGTGGCTGCCGGGAAGAAGATGGCAAAAACAGAGAAGAACGTTTCTCCATCCCGGAACTCCGGAAGAAAGTTTTCCTTCGCGATGGATTCTGTTTTAGACAGAGATGAGATGTGTTTGACACGGCAGGATTTCATTTTCAGGACTTACTTACACTGACTTCATGAATATCTGCCAGTGTTCACGTCATCCGTCATCACTGTTACATTCACATTTAGTCATTTAGCTATTTCTAAAATGCTTAATGTATTTTCTTAGTTTTCAACTAAAAACGCAAAACATTTAATGCGTTTTGGCCGTTTGGTTACACAACAATGGCATTTCGGAGGCCTGAAAATGCAAACGCAAAAAATGGGTTTCAGAGTGCAAGTTTTTAAAAACAATACCATTATTGTCTCTGTGTAAACTACAAAACCGTGAATTTGTGAAAACGTTTCCGCTTGTGGCACAAACGTACCCCAAAACTTTGTCCTGCACTTCCTCTTCAACCCTGTCCCTGTTCCCACGATCAAAATAGTGATTTAATCACTCTTATATTGAGTTGAGTGGCATGACAGTTTATACTATAAATCTCGTCAAGCTCCAAAACGTTGGGTTTGGATTAGGGTAAGTCACAATAAATAACTTTAAGAGACCATTTGTGTTTAAAAAAAGCAGGTAGTGACATGAAAGAAAACATAAAGTCTTGGTGGACTTCTTTTAACTTAATCGCTACGTTTTTAGAACACTGCGTCATGCATTGTTCTGTGTGAACGACCCCTAAGGCTTTAAGCACACATTTAGGATTGCATGTAGAATTTCGAGAATCGAAATATGGGGGGACATTCATGGTCCTGATGCTTTGGGCCTCAGAGGGGTAAGTATGATTATTTATACCTAAAATTTCAGGCACAGATGGCAGTGTTTCTCGTCTGTCTCACCTTGATAGTTAAAGAAGCCTTTGGAAAGCTTGTCCTGTGTGGAGGGAATCACTGTTCCCACAAATACATTGGCAATGGCCAGCAGCAGGATCACCAACAGAGCTACCTGAGCCTATAGAGAGAGACAAGGTTCTCAATCTACTGTCATGCCGAAAACTCAATCCCAGCATGCTCCTGGTCTTACCTTGGCCTCCCACTCCATTCCCGCCACAGTGATGCCTATCAACAGAACCACTGTTATACAGCCGATGATCCTGATGTCATTCACTGGATCCACTATCAGAGCATTGCTTTCCTGAACAGAGCAGATAGACGTATTTAGAAGCAGCTGGATTTCAAGGCTGGTTTTATCATTTTTCTGGATCTGTACCTTGAGAAGCTCCACCACAGTTTCGGCAAACCCCACGACATACATGGCCACGGCCACGGCATTGGCGAATGCAAAGATCAGACCGATGGAGCCACCGAATTCAGGTCCCAAACTGCGGGAAATCAGGTAATACGCTCCACCTAGAGCACAAACACACTCCGTGAGCTCAGATGAAGACCTGATCTAGTTGCTATACTCATGTAAAGTGTGCTTTACCTCCTCGTACCACACCGTTGGTACATATAGCTGACATGGACAGACAGGTGACGCTGGTCACCACAATGCTCAACAACACAACCACTATCCCCAAACCTGAAACACACCGATGCTTTGGCAGGTAACATGAACATATGAGCCTGAATACATCAGATGAGCCATTTCAATAAATAACCACTTAAGTTTCAATCTGTTGTGTTTCACAGAGGAAAGAAACGACATGATGGTGAGTGAATTTTTGGCTGAGTTATTCATTTTTATTTTAGTATTTAAACTAACTCACACTTATAGTCTCACACACACTCAACA